GGCGGTCAGCACCTCCCAAGTCGAAGGAGCTTGTCGCCACGATGCTGCCAGGGCTGGCAAGGTCCTTTTGTAGTCGCAAGCCAATCGAGAGAGGGACTATAGGCATTGCCATGAAGTGCGAGGATCCTTCTGGGTTTGTCGTGTTTTTCGATAGCTTGACGACGACAGAGTGTGAAGATGAGGAAGTATGGAGAGAATCACGGGGTTTCAAGATAGTGGAGATCTGTGAAAATCCAAGGCTCATGCTGGGCGCGGCAGGGAACGTCAAGGAGCGCGACATCATGGCGAAGCTTTTGAAGATCAAGGCAAAAGAAGAAGAATTTGGGCTGGAGGAAGCAGCAGAATTTTTGAAGTGCCAAGCGGATGTTGCCCAAAGCGTCATCACAGGATACCTGGCATCTTTCTTCATATACAACGACTCGGAGCTTTTCATGGTGCGTGATCTTGGCGCAGGATTTCAAGTTTACAAATTGAGCAGTGAGAATCCCATCCTTGCTATAGGGAGTGGGAGTGTACCAGCCAGGAGGATTCTGGAGAACCCGGTGGAGGGGCAGAGAGGTACAACATTGGAGGAGGTCATCGATCTAGGACTGGATGGCATTGCGGAGGCCTGCAGCAGAGACAGATTTTGTGGTGGAGAGATGCTTCTGGTTGATGCGAGCAAGAGTGTACTCGCCAAGAAGAGAAGATTCCTCAAGGCTATGCGACGATTGATGAAGGTTAACTTCTCCCACCAGTATAAGCGGAGAAACGAGGAGCGACTGAAAGTCGATCTAGAATTGGTGTTCGTGCGCGAGTGGTCAGTTCAGGCTCGTCGAGAATAGAGACACAGGCTTGTTGAAATACAACAGATGTTAATTCTGGCTTTCTTGCCTCTACATCCTCAATGACAAACTACTTGTACTGAACAGCTGAACCTGTGCAGCTCCTGACGATCTAGTTCGAGAGTGATACTGTGCACGAAAACCTGGACGACACCCAAGGACTCGTATATCTGGACTCCTTCATCGCGTATTCCGGGGGAAGCAAGCAGCGGCCTGACTCTCACAGTTCCCAAGGTCCACTCCATGGCAGGATTTTCCATCCTCTCTCCTACGAACCAAACTTCCCAGCAATACATGCCTCCTCCGCACTGCTTGAGCCAACTCAGGACGAAGACGATGACGCTGCTGCGTTGAGATTAGCGCGCGAGAAGAAAGCAGTCCGACGGGATTTCAAAGTGCCAGCATTTATGTAGGCTATTCATTTTTCGTGTTTTCGCTTTTAGCCGTGCTAATTGTGTTGGATAACCAAGCTAGGTTGGGATGGACAATCAGACCATTGTACGAGAGGAGTTGTCCTTCACCCATTTGACCCCATTTACGTCGCTGATAGCAAGTAAGCCGATCCGCTTCACCATAGTATTATCGAGAGCTGGTCTCTCGCGCTACCACCTCCGAAAACCTGTACCCCCGACACTCGGCCAGAATTGCTGGCTGTCTAAGCTCGATATGTCCGTCTGGGTCGTGAACAGGGTCTGGAATTACGAGGAGAAGGAGAACTGTGCTTGAGCTCATTCACGAAACTAAGTTTTGAAACGCCGCCTGCATTTTGTTTTATGCTGCTGAGTATCTGTTTAGGCGATGGGTCTATAATGTGCAGATTGAGCTTCAAAGTGCTAAGCCGCTCACTGCAAGTCTGGGTCAAAATGCCTCCGACGAGGGAGCACTGAGGACGAGTTCCTACCATCTTGCTTCTCACCGCCAGATCCTGTTGAGCTTTCTGGTTCAGGCTAAGTGACGGAACTACCAGTAGCAATTGAGACGGACAAATCAGCTGCCTGTAGGACTCTTGCTGGAAGAGAAGTCCGCCCGCAAGGTTCGAAGGCGGCTTCAAAATGCAGTCGCCGTGGAATTAAACTTATCATGATTCGCAGCGAAGCGTGAGAAAGCTGAGAGAGCGAGTGAGTGGCATGCAGTTAGAGAACGCAGTTCAGAGGACTCCCATCACCCACCGCTCGCAAAAGAACCTTTGCGATGTCCTGCTCGATCACGAGTCTATCGTCTTCGTTATCATCCCACATCATTCTTTGAGGGCATCTGACTTGAACATGTCACACAAGCTATAGGTATTACAGGAAAATGCCAACTGTCGAGGTATTATGCAGTGTTTGCTCTTAAGAGCACAGCCTTGCGTTGCAAATGTATTAACTTGATCGAGAGAAAGAACGCTTAACACCATGCATGAAAGCCAGGAGGAAGAGGATACCATCCAAGGACTCGTTCATCTGCTAGAAGAGCTCGATTAAGTGAGCTTAATACGTAGTCTATTTCACCGTCATCTGGCGTGATTCAGTGTCCTCCAAAGCTTTTCTTTTCGAGCGCAAATACAAGACAATAACCTGCAACAAAGTTCAGAACGTGAGCAGTCGCCAAAACACCTCTGTTGGTTATCACACCTCGAGTATTATGCATCGGCTATAGAGCCGATTACAGGATTTGTTCTCTGCAGAGCAGCAAAACTCTCGTTAGCCTAGTGACGTCAATCCATGGTAACTATATTGAAAGAATGAAAATAGTTGAAAACTAATAAGACAAGCTGATACCAGCATGATTGTCAAAGCCAGAAACCGTCTTCCTTGCATCGAAGAATGACCTTAAGTTTGCATTCTCCGCTTGCGACAATTAGCAAGAACTTGCCTTGGGATCGCTCCTTCCATTGCCCAGCCATGGATCCTGGGTTACAAGAAGCTGCAGATGCACAACAGCGGATGCGAGGAGGGAGGTGGAGATTTACAGGCAAGAGATGACACGGACCAGGGGCGAGAAAGAAAGTTCGACATGCACTACTGGAGGAAAACGCCACGTTCTCTTCGATGGCTGAATCCCACGACTATGATGCCGTTCCAGCGCCAGCCATTCCCGTTTTTCTACCGTTCTCAATTGTTGTGATCTTCAGCGCCCACAAGGACAGACTGGGCCTCTTCAAGGATCTTGCTCATCCATGGGACATGGATCGTGTTCTAAATTTGTGACTTAGGGTTAGGGCTAGTGAGCATGGACGCGGAGGTTGTGCGTGGGATGCTGAGGCGCATAGGCCAGGAATACGTGGTGGATTTCACATTTGGGGAGAGTATGGTCCATGATCCGGTCACAGAGAGGGATTATTTCCCGCTGATCATGAGTCTTAAGGATTTTGGCGATGGATTTACCATGACTGGGGGGAGATTTTACCCCGCAGATGAAGAGGGCGTGCGTTGCACTGCAGTAATACTTGATGATGCTGAGGATGCTGAGAGGAACCAGTATATGTTTTCCAATGTGCAGAAGGTATGCCATTGATCCATTCTTTTACACCAAGAGCACTCTTGGTGTATGTTTTTCAGTTGGGCACAAGAGGATTCAACTTATGTTTCTTCTTGTTCTAGGTCTCTAAGGATGGTGAGGTGCTTGAATCTACAGATTGGGAGGTGAAACCAGATTGGCGTAAAGCCCGGTGGTGTTGGAAGGAGACCCAGGATGAAATAAATGCAAGGATCCAAGATGCTATTGCACGAGGCGCTAAAGTGTACGGATAGTCCTCCTGCCTTTGGAAATAGCTCCATCCCATTGCTTTAGTCATCCTTGCTCTTTGTATTGTGCAACATATCAATTCCTTATCCCATTGCATTAGATCATGGCCTTCAAGACCTTAAAAAACAACTAGTCATAGAATGACAAGTTATAATTTTGTAGTGTGTTGCAGAAGCCAATAAAACAGATTTTACAGTTCTTAACACGTTTTACTTTCTCAAAAGTTTAGTTGAGAACTTAAGGTGACAATTTGATCCTGGTTTTCTATAGTAGTATTAATTGAGGTTTAAACCCATATACAAAAATGGATAGATTGAATTTAAATAAACAATTTATATGCTAAAGTACTATAATTAATATTACCTAGTTAGGGTTATATATATATATATATATATATATATATATATATATATATATAAAATCCTCCCTTCTAGAAAATGTGATAACTATGAAACATCTAGAGCTTCTGTTAGACAAATATAAACTACTACAAAAACCTAAAGCTCCTACTTGACTTAGAGCATCTAAGTCATAGTTGATGAGTTCTGGCTCATCAACTATGCAAACCTTGGAATTACTCTGATCACCTGGCAGTGTGTGTTTGGATTGCAATCTAACAACTAAGATCATCTTGCAATCCAAATTACAAGTTGTGTATTAATTAATAATTTACTTAGTCAATGCTAGAACTGGTATATGAAACTCAGGCTAACTCTTAAATATATGTTTCCTACTCTGAAAGAAACAGGAAGAAGAAACCATAGCTTGTTCTTCATTTGTGCTTTTATCTAAAGCTATTTACGTCATAAATTCTTTTTCTAAGATGGGAATATGCTCAAGCTGGAAAACTCGGTAAGCGCCGGGCTCAAGGTTCTTTTCTTTTTTTGAGATTCTTTCTAGCAAACAAAGTCCTCTCATTTCTCTACTTGGACTATGAACTGCAACTTCACCTAGAAAACAAATCACATTGTCTCATACTCGTTGTACTCGAGTATGCAATCGTCCCGACCAGTGCCGTGGTGTTGTTCTACTCAGATGAATCCGGAAGCTTATTTCCGAAGGCCTTGATTGCCTGTGAATGGATGGCATTAAGATGAGAACGCTGCTTTCTTGAGGTGAGAGTCTTACCTCTCCTGCCTTTGGAAACACGAGCATGTCATCGCCCAAGGCCAGTATAACTGGTCCGTCCACTCCACTGAAGGCGTAGCTAACTGCTTTGCACGACGCGCCGGTGCAGTAGAGACCCTTGCCAAACTAGAAAAGTAAATGAGAGGTTACCTCGCACAAATTTGGACAACTCTAATACCATGTAGCCAGGAACAGGAGCGTTGTAGATTGCTGGCTGCATTCCCTTGATAAGATTGCAGGCGCTTGTTCCTAAAATACCGCAGTCAGAGCAGGAAAAAGAATCTTTTACGTACCCCACCAAAGAAGCACTTCGTTGTTTAGCGTGTCAATTTCTTCGAAGGATGGTGCACGGCTTTCAGCAATGATACTAACAGACTGAGCAAAAGTTTAGTTACACGCGCTGTGCTAACGGAAAACATACCGGCTCGTAAGTTTTCTCCAGGTATATCTTATAATCGCCGAGCTTGGGGCAACGATCCAATAAAGGATCGTCCAATGTGTCCCCACTCATTTCACCTATGAGACGTGATATTGCTTTGAAAGATTCCACCCACGCGTCGCACACAACATCCTAGAAGAATTGCATGATTTACGACGAGCAACACAAAATGTCCACAGGATAGAACTTCAGCGCACCGCCACAGGGCTCTAGCGGACCGTACATAATTTGATGAGCACTAAAAATGCAAGCGACAAGAGAAAAGCTAGAAAAGACCAACCGAAAGAAGGAAAACCATTCGCCATCAATGCTGATGAACGGAACTGGAAGCATCCATCTCCTGAGCGTTCTCGAAAAGAATCGGCCTCACCTCCTCGTCCGACACATTGCTCTTGAGCTTGTCCACAAACTCGTGGAAGTTCTTACCGTCCTGCTCACGGCTCTTGGCGTCGCCACCACCGCCAGCCTTTTGCTTCTTGAGCTGCTTCCCGTCATCCATGGTCTGCTTGCCTTGCACCTCGGCGGATCCCGTCCCCAATCCACAGACACACTGCCAGGCGATAAGAAGAATTCCAAGGTCTGAGTACTCGATGAGCTCCGGATGCTCCAACTCAAGCGCAGCTCGAAGAATGGAGTTCTCCTAAGAGCAATGACACAACAACATGAATCATAGAGAAAAATCATATGCTTTTGGTACTTACAAGAGAGATGCGCTTCACAAATAGAATGTGAGCGAGGAGCATTGCATCGAGGCTCGTGGGCCGCCTAGAACAAAAGAAGATTTCAGAAAAACATGAAAGGCTACACTATAACTTACATGCCACACAAGTACTTTGAATCTTTGTTCAGTTGCTTTACAGAGGAGAGATCCTTGTAAGCGCGCAACGCTCGACCATAGATCTGAAATGAAATCAATCTTAAGCCATAAAGAAAGAAATAAAAGCCTCGAAAGCTCTCACTGTTACCTCTTTTTGTCTGGCTTCTGAGTTCTTCCAGTTGATGCCAAGCCTGGTCATTGCTCTGGCTCTCCTTGTCCATGCCACCAGCTTGTTGATCGGCCACGGCAAGTGTGAAGTCTCGATGTCCCCTCCAGCTGCATCGAGAGAAAACCAGCCACTTTTCTTCCTGCACTGACGTTTCGTCCACAACTCCAAGTCGAGAGCATCGTCCAGATCCATAAACAGCGGCCTCAAGGACTCAACCTTCGCAGCTTCACCCTCATTGAGCCCAACATCCAAGTCGCACATCACCGTAGATCGCAAAAAGTCGTCCACGCCGCTGCCAAACACAGTGTGGAGGTTCCAGTCCACCAAAGGTAAGTTGAGGTCTGAAAAAAACCGTGAGCATCTGCCATACAAAAGAAAGAAAGGAAAGCTCACCGGCATTGGAGTGCTCGACAAGGAATGGCTTCTTTGCCAGGCACAGGTAGAGGTACGTGGAAAGGCTCCTCGGACAAGCGGTTGGAAGATGGAAGCTTGGAGGTCTCACGGTGAGCACAAGATGGCCTCTCTTCTCATACTCGGACAGCCTCATAAACTTCTCCTTGTCACTGCGCGAGCTCACGTCCCAAGTGACAGTGAAGATCGGTAGTTTAGTTGGATCAATCAGCTCCGCACACAGCTCGTCCATGGGAACACCATCGGGCTCCTCGGTGTCGTCAGTGAGGCCGCTGCAGTTGCCAAACGTGCCATCGTTCCCAGGCAAAAAGTCCACCGGGAGAAGAACCAAAACTGGATAGAGCTTGGCGACGTCGTTCTCCCAATCGCGTGCATCCTGCCGGATTTCCTCCAGAACCTCAAGAGCATCATGCATGGATTCCATTTTGCGGGGTGGTGGCAGGAGACTGTGATACGTCTCAGCGAACGTCGCAAGCTCCTCGCCGAGAATCCGGGCGTAATCTTTGATACCGAGGTGCGCCGGAAGAGCTTTCTCTACGAAGACATGGTGGAACTCGCTGAAGCATCCGATGAAGCTGTAGAAATCACCTGCGAGGCATGGAACTCACTAAAGCATCTACGGAAACTGAGCTCACCTGCTGGGGCATGGAGCGCCACTATGAGCCTCAAGCCATAGATTTTTCCTGCGAAGCATTGCCGACTTGGATTGATCGGCTTCTTCTCCAACTGAAATCCATGCTTGTTTGCCTGAGCGTATTCCTTTATCGCCGAAGCATCGACCCGGCGTATCGCAGCATTCGGCCAATGCTCGCCCTTCACACAAAATGGTGCTATCACCGGGGCAACGAAAACGAGCAAAGAATCTTACCAGGGAGCCCATCAACTTCGCTAGGGTTTCCAAGCTGTGACGAGGGTTTTATTTTGCTTCGTGCGAAAGATGTCTTCTTTCTCTGCGAACGCGACTAAAATAAGTATGCAGCGAGCTTGCACGGTGCTGGGGTGTGGTGGGAGGCCAGGTGAGTGTCTCGCATTTTCTTTAGTGGAGAATGAGATTTATTCCTCGGGCTTGGTTGGGATTGTTCCGGGAAATCGTCGGTGCTTCTCTTTTTACTTGGCTTCTGGTGATAACGGCTTCTGTTTGAAGGAATTGTGATCAGGACAGAGGGCGGAGTTTTTGCATCTACCTAAGAAGAAACTTACGGACTTTGGTAAGAAACTTCTTCTGGCGGACTTAGCTCTTGCGCTTTCTATTTGTCTTAGCACTGGACGTAGCAAACAAATCTCGCCGGTTCCTATCCATCTCAGCATTTACTCTCGAAATGGTTTGTTTCATGGTTGATTGTTTCCACGACGAGTTTTAACTTCTTGTGTTTAGTGGCAGTCGTGAATTTGACTATGATAGACCTTGCGGGCTTAACGAAAATTGCTGTTGGTAAGAATTTTCATGACAAATGTTTTAGCTTTTTCTTTTCCTTTTGCTTTGCAGACGGGCAGCCTGAAAGCTGAGATTGAAAACATGGTCAGGTATTATGTTGAAAAGGTTGGTTTCTGGTTATTATTCAACCTTTGCGGTGCTTAACATCTTGTACCTTCAGGAAAATACGATCATTCTGGCCATCTCTCCTGCCAATCAAGATATAGCAACATCAGACGCAATTAAACTTGCACGCGAAGTCGATCGGTGAGATTATATTGTTTTCATGGCAATGTTCTAATGAATTAGAACGTTTGAGTTAGGCGACCGAACGTTTGGAGTTCTCACACAGTTGATGGATAAGGGAGCTATTGATGCAAGTATCTTTATGTTTACTAAACTCTTCAGTTTAGATTGAATCTGATTTTCTACAGGTGTTGGAGGGTCATTCCTATCGATTGCAACGCCCCTGGATCGGTGTTGTCAATCGATCACAAGCAGACATAAATAAAAGTGTCGACATGATCGTCGCCAGACGAAGGGAACGTGAGTTTTTCGCTTCAAGTCCAGATTACAGGCATTTGGCAAGCCGCATGGGCTCTGAATATCTTGGAAGAGTTCTTTCGAAGGTGATTGTGATACATTTTGTGGCCGCTCTGAAAAATCTCTTTTGCAGCATTTGGAAGCAGTGATAAAGGCACGAATTCCGAGTATTCAGTCGCTTATAAACAAAACCATCACCGAACTAGAAGCAGAACTTGACCGACTTGGGAGACCTATTGCATCGGACGCAGGGGTAAGATAAAGGACTAGCTGGCTTCCTTATATCTGGAGCTGAAGTACTTGCATTTTTAGGGGCAACTGTATACCGTGTTAGAGCTTTGCAGGGCGTTTGACCATGTTTTCAAGGCGTATTTTGATGGAGGGTAAATTTTTTTGTATGAGGAAGCTTTTAATTGACTTACTTTTGAGTATCGTGTCATATGTCCTGGAGGAGATCGAATCCATAACGTGTTTGATCACCTGCTTCCTGAAGCTGCCGTTCGACAGACATCTTTCCATACAGACGGTCGGAAAGTTATCGCAGAAGCTGATGGCTATCAGCGCCATTTGATTGCTCCAGAGCAAGCTTATCGGTGACTTATTGAAGTCTCGGCCAGCTATTTGAGAGGTGGCTGTAGATGCTGTAAGATTTGGTTTGTTATACTTCTGAGTTGAAGAGCATTTTGTACTTTGTTTGCCAGGTGCATTTTTTACTCAAAGAGCTTGTGATAAACGAGACGGTAAAATGTCATTATGTTTGTTTTATATGGGCTCACATAGGAACTTACGCGCTTTCCAACTTTTCAGGCGGAGTTGTCTGCTGCAGCAGAAAGATTCTTGAAGACAATGGACTTCTCCATGTCGCCCTCGTTAGGAAATTTTGTCAGTTGGTAGTGGATATGGTATTAGCAGGGATGCAATGTTTGAGATGGGAATCAACTCGCCCGAGCTGCCTCTTTCACTTCAAGCAATGTAAGCTCGTGTTTCAGGAGGTTATGAGTTAACAAACTGCATTGGCAGGCGGGAGTGAGTTCGCAGACTCTGACAGCAAGAAACACGACCAAATGTGCCTGGATTTTAGTAGTAAGTGGTTTTCGCTGGTTCCTTCATCTCAACTGGTACTTTTGCAAATCGAGATTGATGATATCTAATATTGTCTCCAGGGCGCAAGTGTACTGAAATCTCTGCATATCCTAGGTGATAGGAGTGGGGACACATTGAACGATCCTTTATCCGATCGTTACGCCAAGCTCAAGAGCTCTATGACTTGCGTGGACAAGGAAAGTGACGATTATAAGACGGTTCAGAAACACCTGGAGAAAACTTACGAGCCAGTCATGCATGACGATGTGGTAAGTTTTGTTTTCCGTTAGCATAGCGCGTGGAACTAAACGTGTTTATTTCTTGCTCAGTCTGTTAGAGGACTTGTCATTGTACAAAGTGCTTCGTTGATGCGGTACGTAAAAGAAAAAAAAAATCCGGCTTTCATATGCTCTGACTGCGGTAATCACTGGTTTGTCGCAGACCAGGGGGCGAATGCTTCTCAAGTTTGCTGATTTGCTGGAGCATCACCTTGACGAGCTTGCAGCTCTCGAGACTCTGGACAATGGAAAGCCATTGGACTTGCCGATGTCCCTTCGGCTCCTTCGTTCAGGTAGGATCAAATAATGAAGTGCCTGAGGACCTTGTACAGGCTTCGTTGACCAAATCTGTGGCAAGACCAAAATTGACGGCCCTTACCACGCGTACACTTTGCTCGAGCTCCCATGGAACTTCCCGCTCATCATGTTTTTCTTGAAGATCGGCCCCGCGAGCAACTCCCTTGAGTGCTCTCTTTTGTGCAAGCCTGCTGAAGGAGGTCTGTAGTTTTTCTCGTTTCTGCTGTTGATCTCTAACTGGAAAACGTGAATTTGTGCTCCAGGCTGGATTGCCTCCCGGCGATCCTCTCTGGTTGGGTTTTAACAATCTTTGCCGATGTCTAGGTAACACCATTCTCTCTTTGCAAAAAGTGTTTTTCATCTCTTTCGTTTTGTGTTCTTTCTAACTGATTGATTCGCCAGGGAAGAGGTTTTCGTGCTGGTGGTAACAAATCAAACTGGCTAGATTCTTGAGGATTCTACTTCTTTCTTGACACTTTCCTCCCCATCCAGAACAATAGACGACACGGCCTACGTTTTGAAGATCATGGACAGTGTGAGTTGCTCTCAGCCAAAAAGTGGATCGTCGCTGATGTATATGTGGAGTGCGAGCCGATTGTAAGCCTGTCATTCCGATCGATGATCTTCTATATTTCTTCTTTTGATGATGGATCGTGTTTTCCAGATTGTTTTCGTTGATATTGTCTTGCACTTACCGTCATTTGTTCTTCAGCAGCAAAGTTCTAAGTTCGAAAGTAAGTGTTTCGCTCTTTCGATTCTCTCAGAGCGGAGCTGATTTTGACGTTTGAAAGCAGGTCGTTGTGACGGCAGCTCTTTACTTTGTTGTTTTGGAAGCATGTCTATACGACTATTTTAGTGCTGAGAGGGCCGCTGCCATCTCGTATCGATCAGCTAAGGTGATTTGAGCATGAGCTTACATTCCATGATGAGGATAGAGATGTTGACCGTTCCAGCTCGACGAACGGGAGTTTAACGGGAGTTTTCCGCAATCACTTCAAGTTACTTCAAGCTTTTCATCTTTGCGATGATGGTATGGTATCCTTCCTCTATATTTGCGTCGATTGTGTGTTCCTTGCTTCGTGCAGATATGGGTGATGATTGAGGTCTTGGTAATCTCCAATGGAGTCGCTTTCCAAGATAAGAAATGGAAGGACAAACTTGCTGTTGGCTGTTGACAGAATGACAAGTGAGTTGCATCAACCTCCCCATATTCGTTTTTTCCTTGCAGTTCCAAGATTGCTAGTAAAGGCCAATGCAGCAGCTCTATGTGCATCCAGCTTGGTGAAGGATGGTTTCCTACCCCCATCCGCGTCCCTACGCCACCAGCAAGCAAGATCACAGATACCGAGTGCTCTGGAACCACCTTAAAAGTCTGCAAGGAATCAAGCAAATCAGCTCCTAAAGTGCTTACCCTTAGTTTCGAGCTTCTAATCGTTGCTATTCTTGCAGGCTGATATGCCAAAACAATATTTGCCTCTTCTAGGACAGTATTGCGCTAGACAGGTTAGTGCGGAACAACTTGATCTTCGTTTTGTTGATGCTAGCGCGTTCAGTTTTTATACATTTGCTAACATGCCTGGTGGTTTGTGACCCATCATACAAGCATCTGTTTGAAGGTGAAATTTGCATGTCTGATCGAACTAGTGTTTTCTCGGTTGTTTCAGGCCATCAGTGATGACTCGAAGCTAGCTTGTATCCATGATTCTGCGCGACCTCTTGTCCTCGGCCATGACAAACACAGGGTGTATGCGTTGCTTACTCGTCTTTCAAATA